AGCCAAAGTTGGGTGCTTAACTGACTGAGCCACCCAGGCGTCCCTGAAAACAATTGTAGATGAAGTTTCAGAAAGAACATTATAGGCTGAGAACTCCAGTTTAATTATAGTTCAAAAGCTGGCCTCTGAATGAGTTTGTTCATCATCTAGTGATGGGGTGTCTGTGCCAAACTTTTCTCTTGTTTTATGAACATGTTTTTTTACCTTCTTTTAATAAAATAAACTATGCTTTTAAATCTTCCACTTAGGAAATTGAAAGACTTTCTGAGAAGTTAGAAGAAAAAGAGAAGGAGAAGCAGCAGCTGATGAGCCAGCCGGAGCATGAGCGAGAGAAGGAAGTTGCCCTGCTGCGGCAGAGCGTGGCAGAGAAGGAACGAGCCCGGGCTGCCAGCGACATTCTGTGCCGCTCCTTGGCCGATGAGACCCATCAGCTGCGGAGGACTCTGGCCGCCACTGCCCACATGTGCCAGCATCTGGCCAAGTGTCTGGATGAACGACAGCGCACACAGGGGGACTTGAGGGAGAAAAGTCCTGAGGTAGGCCATGCACGTGGGTAAGCAAATTACAGTGAAGACCACATCGGGGCAGGAGGCGTTGCGTAGAGACCGCAGGATCCCTCAGCAATCGCGGGGATTGGGGAGCCCAGAGCCCACCAGTAAGGAGACTCCTCTTGGTTGTGACAAAGCCTGTCTATTCAGGGCTTTCTTCTAGAAAGATGGAACGTGCAAAATGTGATAGGAAAGCAGGGCAGCCTGTTTCACCAGCCCAGCCTCTTGGCCTCTGTAGCCTCGGTTAGCTGAGGACAAGAGGGTGGAGCCGCGGCTGGTAGGTGGATGAGGAAGATGCAGAGCGAGGTGAGGGCAGCTCCCCCACAGGCCCCATGCGCAGGCCCGCAGGGCCGTGGGTGCTGGCCTTCCTTGTGCTCCATGCACCTGCACAGAGCAGCACCGACCCAGCCGTGGACCTCGGCACAGCTGGCTGTGGGCTCGCTGAGCGGGGTCCTTTCCGGGCAGTTCTCTTAGGCTGCGACCAGGTTCACCGAGGAATGCGCTGCGATGTTCTGAGGGGGATGGGCTGACCGGCCCCTTAGCGGCGGCTTTGCCACAGCTCGCATGGGGAACCACCTGTTCTCAGGTGGATTCCACTAAAAGGGAACCTCGGAAGGAACTAAGCGTATTTGAGCAGCCAAAAGAAAAGTGCTATTTGGGAGGAGGCGGGTGCTCTTCTCCAACGTTGAGTCACTGGGTCGTTTCCTTGCGGGGATTTGAAAGTAGCTACACACGATGGTGGCTGGGGGCCGGCGGCTCTTACAGTCACTAAATCAGCATCATTTCTCAGCCTGGGACTTGGCTGAGTCACCCGGGGCTTCCCAGTGGCTGCGCCGTGAGGATACATACTTCCTTTGTCATTCAAGGGGAATTCTCAAAAATGATGTCACCAACATACAGCCCTCTGTTCTATTAAATGCACTGCATTTCTCGGATTCAGACAGACTTCTCAAACGAGACTTTTCGGTTAGGGCTGCCTACCATTGTTAGGGGTGGTTTGGGATGTGGCTTCTAGGCATGAGCATGGTGTGGGTCAGACCCTGTGTACAAAGCCACCAAGGTTGACCCTGATGGTCTGCAGACATGACGGGTTCCCAGCCAGGCCTGCCCCCTGTGGCCCAGGGCCGGTGTGTCCTTTGCCGCACAATGGGACTGAGCCCCCTGTTCCCCCGAACCATGACAGAGCATGTCAGGCAGCGGGAGCCCCGGTGGGTGGTGGGCCCGGGTCAGGGCAGAGCACACCCTTCCCCCACCACCTCCGGGAAGCAGGGAGTCCTTTTGTGTCTCCACTTTGCTTCTCTACCTGATGAACGACCGCCAGCTGGTGCCTTGCTGGATGTGATGATGTCTGCGACCTTGGTCCGCGGGTCTAGCTTCCTCCCCTCTTGTTGCACTTTTTATGTTCAGCGACATAGTGCCCTCCCACTCTCCCTTTGTTATGCAGCCAGAGCGTACAGGCACAGGCGGGGACACCTGTGTCCGGGATGTTATCGAGAAGTTACAGGAAGAAAATCGACTGTTGAGACAGAAGGTGACCCATGTGAGTATCTGTCATATTTCATTCAAGAAGAATTTGCCCTTGTGAACTGCAGGTGTAGGGGGTTCCTGTCCTCCATGGTGCTCAGGGGTTGTGTCCCCCTCAGGCCACCTTGGCTGACACACACCATGCCGAGACCTGACCTTTTTGTCTGAAAGTGCACAGAATGTGCCCCGTCATGCTCTGTCCCCTCAGGCTAACTCGTAGGTCGAGAAAGGAGGTGCAAGAATTACTACCGAGTATGGCTTTTAAGGAGGGAAAACCGCACCGAGTCCACTTGTGTTTAACAGTTGCTGGCGGACGTCACCGCCGTGCCTCGGACGTGTCTGCTGCTCTCTGTGTCCCCTCTGGATAGAAGAGCAAAGTGAGGTGACATCCATTTAAGGGGAAGAACTCATTAGCTAACTGTTGCTAACAAAGCGCTTCATAGTCCGAGAAAGACAAATGCCAAGTGATTTCTCTCCTGTGTGGAATTTAAGACAGCAAGCAGAGGAACACAGGAGAAGTGGGGGAGGAAGAAGAGAGGACAACAAACCATAGGGGACTCTAACGATAGAGAACAAACAGGGTTAATGGAGGGGGGCGGGATGGGCTAGATGGGGATGGCGACAAAGCACTGGGGGTGTCTGCAAGTGACACTGAGTTCTGCTCCTGAAACCAATATTACACTGGATGTTAACTGGAATTTAATAAAAATTTGAAGAAAAAGTTTAAACTTAAAAACACAAAGCGTGGCGTAGCGTGGGGCCGCCTTCACCGCGTGTCTTGGCCACATCCCCTCAGGTAGAAGACCTTAATGCCAAGTGGCAGCGCTACGATGCCAGCAGGGATGAGTATGTGAGGGGGCTCCACGCGCAGCTTCAGGGGCTACAGGCCCCCCGTGAGCTCGAGAGACCCTCCCCTCCTGAGCTGATGAGGAAGGAGATCTCCAGGCTCAACAGGCAGCTGGAGGAGAAGATAAATGACTGTGTGGAAGTGAAGGAGGAGCTGACGGCTGTGAGGAGGGCCCGAGATGCGGCGCTGGAGCGGGTGCAGATGCTGGAGCAGCAGGTGTGGCCCTGGGTGGGGGAAGGTGTGGGAGGTGTGTGTGTGTGGGGGGGGGCGGGAGCCAGGTGGGCACCTTCTCCGTCCTGAGCAGCAGAAATGGCGCCGCGTGCTGACAGCCGCGTGTCCTGCCTCCTTTCAGATTCTTGCTTACAAGGATGATTTCACCTCGGAAAGGGCCGATCGAGAGCGTGCTCAGGGGAGGATTCAAGAGCTGGAGGAGCAGGTGGCCGCCTTGCGGCACCAGGCGTCCCGGAGGCAGGTAGAGTACGACGCCTCTTTAGGCCTGGCATTTCTCTCATTTTTCTTTCCGCGAATTTCAAGCATCGGCCTGAGACCCTGATTGCCCTGCTTAGGTCAGAGCCGCCTTGCCCAGCCCCTGGGGCATGGGGGTGGAAGAGCTCCTAGTCACACTGTGTGACAGTCCACAGGGCCTGTCCTGCCTTCCATGCTTGTGGTCATGCGCCCGGTGAGCACGTCCTGGGCCCCAGGCTTCCTGCTAGGAGCTTCCTTCATACGTGTCCCCTCCTCGCGATGAGGCACAGGTACTTGGTTACTCCATTCCCAGGTGTCTAGTAACGTCCCTGGGCCCACGGCCCGTGTGCATGGAGATGGGCCTTGCGGGCCAGTAGGCCTCCACCCCAACTAGGGAGGCCTGGCGTGAGTCAGAATTGATAGTTTCTCGGTGCAGGACCCATGGCGCCCACATGCCTCTTCCCCTCTGCCCTGGACCCTCTCCGTGCTCTGCGGAGACCCTGGGAGAGTTTGGTTTCTTTAGCCCCTCAGCCAATACCTACTGGGCCCCTCCAAGAACGTTTGGACTGGACGGTAGTGGCACCTCTGGGGATTGACGTACCAGGTTGAGCAGGGATGCTGAGCTGACCTCGGGGCTGCCTCATCTGGTTGGGTGCTGCCTGTACTATGCTGCTGGGGTTCGTCGGTGGCTTCTGCTCCCACCCTGCATGAGGTGCAGGGAGTCACGGGGAACACCCTCTCTTTAACACTCTTGGACTCGGTCCAGAGCACCAGGCCTGGACAGAGAGGCAGCTGTTCCTACTGGCGGGTGAAGTGGGTGGGGACCGTGCCCGCAGCCTGTTTCCCCCCGAGGCCACAGGCTAACAAGGAGGTGCGGGAGGACCTCATTGTCCCCAGCGGCCTTAGCGGCTCCCATCACAGATTCCGGGTTCTCTTGAGGCCCTGGGACTCTAGGCTCTGGCTGAGGACGCTCCACCATGGGCCCAGGCAGGGGCGGTCTTCTGTGGTCTTCTGTGATCAGGTTTCACCTGTGGGTTTCTGGCTGCCTCGAACTTGAGGAAGCACGTGCTCTTGGATTGAAAGGTCATTAAAGGTGTGGTTCTAGGCAGCCTGTCAGTGACTCTGGGCCAACAGGGATGATCAGGACCCACTTCAAGTCTGTTGGGGGACAGGGCGTTTGCATTACGTGGCCTCTGCATCCTTTTCAGCTGCAGCCTGTGGCCCCTCGAACGTGGGGGAGCACTTGCCGTTGCTGAGGAGCCAGGGCAGGAGTGCAGAAGGGGCGGGCAATAAGCCCCAGGCCCACAGAGGAAAGCCCAAGTTCAGATGTGAAGTAGAAGCACCAGGCTGAGGAGCATGCAGGCCACGGTGCTTCGTGACTGATGTCTGGAGGGCGTGCGCCGGGCCGAGCTAGGAGGGACCCCCACCCCGGCTCCACCTCTGTCTCTCCACAGAGGCATGTGGGGCTGATAGGCAGGGAGCGGGCCCCATCTGAACTTGTGCAGGAGCGTCTGCGACTGGGCCCCACCGTGTTTGGACTCTGGGCTACTCCGGGAGGTGGGGAGGGGCCGCAAGTCCCATTCAGGGAGTGCCAGAACCCGACACCTGGCTTTGTGGCCTGCAGTGCGGCCCATGTGAACGGATACTTGCCTTCTTTCCAGGACTGCCGAGAGCGGGGCTCCTGCCGGACGCACACGGGGAGCAAAACCCCCAAGTACTTAGAAACCAGTGTCTTGGAGCTTGTGGCACCCAGTGGCCGGAGGGCTGGGTCTGGATCTCAGGGGCCGGACTTCTCCGCGGAGGGCAGGTGTCCTGGAGCAACGACCCGGAGAGGGCAGGGGGAGCTTCAGTGCCCTCACTGCCTGCAGCACTTCGATGACGAGCAAGGCGAGGAGCTCTTCAGGCATGTGGCCGAGTGCTGCCAGTGAGGCCCTGAGGCTGGAGCTACCTGTGACTCTGCTGCTTCTGAGGGGGCTCGGCCCTGGGCGGGGGCGAGATCCCCTGAGACCCAGGACCCAGCACAGGTTGAGGGGGTTTCTGATCCTTCACCTTGGTCATCCTTGGGCGGTGGAACAGACCAAGTTGGAGGGAACTTCTCGTGGGGCGTCTGCCTCTGGGAGGGCCTGGCTTGGCTTCTGGTATGGAGTGCGCCCCTCCCTGCCCCCCCGCCGGCCGGCTGTCGGGTCAAGACCAGGAGCAGGGGGCGCACGAACGCTCACAGGCAACACGACAGCCCCAGTCAGCCTGCGCCTGGGCCGCTGCAGCTCGCTGGGAAGAGGTGGCTGCCTGCAGGGACCACGTGTGTGGGCCCCCGGTTCTGTTGAGTCGGGACCAGGTTTGTAGACTGAGCCCTGTGGCAACACATCGCACACGAGGACTATTCTCGGCCACCGCAGAGACACGTGTCCTCACTGAAATGCACTGCACTAGCGTTTGCCACGTATCTATCTCAAAGACAAAAGACATTTCACATTTACTTATTTTTATAATAAATACACTTGCTATGGTGACTGCTCTTGAGAATGTGTCCCGGGGGCTGCAGTACTTTCAGTCAGACTGGCTGATGAGGAGGAGAAGCGCTCCTCCTGTGTTTGCCACCTGCCTGTCAGGGACCACGTGACCTGGCGCCAGCCCCGCTTTGCCTTCGGTCTGTTTCTGCCCCAGCCCAGGATGTGTAGCCAAGGGCTGGGACTGCGGTGAGAGGGTGCAGGTACTTGCTGAGAGCACACGAGAGCCACACGGAGCAAGGTGTGATCAGTGACCCGACAGAGAAGGCGGGAGGGGAGGCTGAGGTGCCGTGCCAAGTGCTTGCCAGGGTTCACTCCCTGAACCCTCATAGCGATCCCAGGAGGTAAGTGTTATGATCATCCTCAACACAAACAAGGAAAAGGAGGCACAGAGGGGTTAAGTCACTTGCCCAAAGTCACACAGTGCCTGAGTGACAAAGCTGGCATCTGCACCCATGTTCTCAATAGCACAGTCTGTACTTCTTCCTGGAATTCATCCTTCCATCTGGCTACGTCCTCCTCAAGTCAGAGTTCAGGTGTCACTTCCTCTGGGGCCCCGCTGGAAGAGACCCAGCCTATGTGGCATGGGGTGGGTAGACTGTAGCAGAAAGCCTCAGTCTCCCTGACCTCAGGAACTGGAAGAGCTTGTGGACACCTGAATACTGGAAACGGAGGATGGGGACACCCCAGAGAGAAGGGAGCCACACAAGGGGGAACCCTCAAATCCTTGGCTGACCCCCCAATTTTCCATGCATTGAGCAAGAACCCAAGGATTCTGGGGTGAGAACAGCAGATGGAAAGCAGAAAGAGCTGAGCAGACATTCCAGTGGCTGAATATCACGGGGGGACAGTTTTGAATTGGGGTCCCTCAAGCTTCAAAGGTAAATACTTTGGGTTTTCCTCTGAAACCCTGTAAGGGCCCTGCATTAGGAGTAAAGTTGACATCCTAGGACAAAATGGAAATAGCCTTTGCTCTAAAAAGGCCTAAGAGTTTCAGGTAATCAACCAGTAAATCAGCTGTCACCTGGAATGAGATACAGGCAACAGAGTCTAGGACATTATACTGTATTAATCACAAGGACAATATGCAATAGAAAATACTAGACCGGTGTCTAGCTGGCTCAGTTGGTAGAGCATACGACTCTTGATTTTGGAGCTGTTTGAGCCCCACATTAGGTGTAGAGATTACTTAAAATCTTAAAGAAAATACTAGGCAAAGGAAAAATAAAGGCAGAATGAAGGTATTTTTCAGACAAATACAAGGCAACAAAATTTATATCCAATTGACTGCACCACAAGAAATCTGTACTACAGAAATTATTCCAGATAAAAATATAGAAAGGAATGAAGAACCTGGGCACGGGTAGATATTAATTACTTTTTAAACAACGATGTTTGGAGGCCTTTAAAACATGCAAGCATATGACCAAAAGAGCTTCCTAGGTGGGGGAGAGAGTATGAACTTATTACACAGAAGTTTTTGCATTGATGTAAGGTGGACTGTAATGCAATAAGAAAGCATAATCTCTAGAGTAACCACTAACATAGTAATAAAAATATTTAAAAAGTGAATAGAACAGAAAATGTTACTAATCCAAGACAAGCTAGGAGAACTAAAGGAATAAGGAAGAGATGAGACAACATAGATGGCAAGATGGCAGACTCAAACCCAACTGTATCAATAATTACGTTATAAATGGATCACTGAAAGACAATGATTGTCACACTGGATGAGAATGACAAGGTCTCACCTACATGCCCATTAGCAAAGATGTACTTTATTAAAAAAAAAAAAATTTAATGTTTGTTTATTTCTGAGACAGAGAGAGACAGAGCATGAGTGAGGGAGGGGCAGAGAGAGAGGGAGACACAGAATCAGAAGCAGGTTCCAGGCTCTGAGCTGTCAGCACAGAGCCCGACGTGGGGCTCGAACTCACAAACCATGATATCATGACCTGAGCCAAAGTCAGTCTCTCAACCAACTGAGCCACCCGGGCGCCCAGCAAAGACGTACTTTAAATATAAGAACACAGGGTGAAGATAGAAAATACACACCATGCCAACACTAACCAAGAAAATGAGAGTGGTTACATGATTATCAGATGGAATTTAAGACAAAAAGTGTTAGCAGAAGTAGAACACTGTATAATGACAAACGGCTAAATTTATCAGGAATATGTAACATTCCTAAATTTGTATACAGTTAATAACATAGCTTCAACATATATAAACAAAAGGAGGGCTGGATAAATGCACAATCATAGCTGGAGATTTTAACACACCTCTAAGTGAGAGAAGCAGGAAAAAAAAAATCACCAAGGATACACAAGATTTAACCAAAATAATTAACAAACTTGGTGTCATTTACTTATGTGGAACATTAGGCCCAACAAAAGCCAACTAGAATTCTTTTCAGGTGTACATGGAACACTTACCAACAGAGACAAATTTGTGGGGCATAAATCAAGTCACAATATATTCCAAACAATTGAATCATTGAATTTATGTTCTCTGACCATGGTGAGGTTAAACTACAACTCAGTAACAGATAAATATCAAATTCCCAACACACTTCTAAGTGATCTGTGGACAAAGGAAAAGACACAATGGAAATTAGAAAATACTCTGAAATGAGTGAAAACGGGGTTAAAATTCAGCAATCTCCGTGCCCCTCTCAAGAGCTAAGAGAAGAGCTGCAAATTAAACCCAAAGAAAAGGGAAGGAAAGAATATGAGAGCAGAGATCAATGAAACAGAAAACAGAAAAATCAACAAAATGAAGAGTTCTTTTAAATGCCAACAACATGGATAAACCACTAACATGACTAATGCAGAAAAAACAAATTGTTGATAATCAGGAATGAACAGAGGAACATCACTATAGATCTCTAAAAGGAGTACTATGAACGCTCTATGCTAATAAATCCGACAACTTCGATGAGACAGATAAACTCCTTGAAAAACACAATTTAATGCAACTGATACAAGAAGAAACAAAACCTGAGTAGCTGTTCTGTAGGTATTAAGTAAATTGAATCTATAATTAAAAGTATTTTCATGCAAAAAAGGGGGGTGCGTGCCTGGGTGGCTCAGTTGGTTGAGCATCCAACTTTTGATTTTGGCTCAGGTCATGCTGCCAGGGTTGTGGGATGGAGCCCCATGTCAGGGCCGCTCAGCATGGAGCCTGCTTGAGATTCTCTCTCCCTCTGCCTCTCTCCCTAGCTTGCATGAACCCAATCTCTCTCTCTCTCTCCAAAGAAAAAAAATTTTTAAACGAAAAAAGAAAGAAAAAAAAAAGATATTTTCACAAAGAAAATTACAGGCCCAGATAACTTCACTGGTGAATTCTCCCAGACATCTGAGAAAGATATACCAATCTTACATACATTCAGCAAATACAAGGAATGTTCTCCAACTCATTTTTATGACCCCCAAACCTAAGAAAAACAAGAAATTACAAGACAAATCTCTCTCATGAACATAGACACAAAAGCCCTAAAAAAATTAATAAATTGAATTCAATATAAAAAGGATAATAAATCATAGCCAAGTAGAATTTTAATTACGGATACAAGATTGGTTATTCAAAAAAGCATTAAATGTTATTCACAGAATAACAGGAAAAAAAACACATGATCTCAATAGAAGCCGAAAAAGTATATGACAAAATTTAATACCCACTCATGATAAAAAAAAAAAAAAAAAAAAAAAAAAAACACTCAGCAAACTAGAAAAAGAAGGCATTTCCTCAATCTGAAAAAGGTGTATGTCCAAAAACTTACAGCTAACATTATATTTGATGATATAATATTAAATGCTGTCCCTGCTGAGGTTTGTATCAAGACAAGGTTTTCACTCTTAACCACTGTAATTCAACATTGTACAGGAGGTTCTACCCAGTGCAGTAATAAAGGGAATAAAGAACAAAAAAGTTGGGGAAAAAGTAAATAAAACCGTCCCTATTTGCAGATGACAGATTGTATGTATATATGATACATATACATAAAGGAGTACATACACACACACATAAAATTCTAGGTGTTCTTAAAGTTTAGAATTTATGTCAATTATTTGACAACCTCAAGATATAAAGTTCGATATATGAAAAATCTACCATACTCCTGTATGTTTACAACAAGTAGAAAAGCAAACAATGTTTATTTTTGAGAGAGAACATGCAAGTGGGGAAGGGGCAGAGAGAGAGGGAGACACAGAATCTGAAGGAGGCTCCAGGCTCTGAGCTGTCGGCACAGAGCCCGGTGTGGGGCTCAAACCTACGAACTGTGACATCATGACCTGAGCCAAAGTCACACACTGAACCAACTGAGCCACCCAGGCACCCCAAGAAAGGCAAATTTAAAACTCCCCAAAAGATAGTGTCCAACAAGATGTTAAGTCCTAACTAACCCCCAGAACCTGTGAATGTGACCTCACTTGGAAATAGGGTCTTTGCACATGTAATATGAGATGATGTGCTGGATGAGGGTGGGCCCTAAACCCAATGACTCATGTCCTTGTAGGGACAGAAGAGACGTGCGAGTGTGCTACTCTTGATCTTAGGGTTGTGAGTTTGAGTCCCATGTTGGGTGTAGAGATTATTTGAAAAAAAATTTTTAATGTTTATTCATTTTTGAGAGAGAGAAAGAGAGAGAGAGAGAGAGAGAGAGAGAGAGAGAGAGAGAGAGAGACACCAAGCGCGAGTGGGGGAGGAGCAGAGAGAGAGGGGGACACAAAATCGGAAGCAGGCTCCAGGCTGTCAGCACAGAGCCTGACATGGGGCTCGAACTCACGAACCATGAGATCATGACCTGAGCCAAAGTCAGGCACTTAACCAACTGAGCCATCCAGGTGCCCCGGAATTGCTTAAAATCTTAAAGAGACGAACACAGAGATGCAGGGAGAAGGCCACGTGAAGACAGACAGAGACTGGGGGTGATGCCTCTGTAAGCCAAGGATTGCCAGTGACCACCAGGAGCTAGGAGGGAGGCATGGAACAGGCGGTTCTTCCAACCTCTGGAAGGAACCAATCCTGCCGATACCCACATTTCGGGTTTATATCCTCCAGGACTGTGAGAAGAGAAGTTTCTGTCATAAGCCACCCAGTCTGTGGCACTGCGTTATGGGAGCCCCAGGAAACTAAAGCATAACTCCATTTGTGATGACATCAAAAACAAAGTGCCTAGGAAAAATTCATCAGAAGTCTGCAAAATCTCTACAATAAAAGCTACAAAATACTGCCGAACTCAAGAACACATAAACGCAGACTGGGAACTCCATGGTCTCAAGATGTCACTTCGTCCCAAACTGACCTACAGACTCAACAGCCTCATCCGTAATTCCAGCAAACTTGTGACAGGTTCACTTTGGATTAGTATTTTGTCGTGGTTGTTCCTCATTTTTCCAGGATTCCAGTTACATGTATGTTGGAATGCTTGACACTGTCCCACCGGCTACTGTTTTCCATTCTCTTTTCTGCTTTCTGGTAGTTTGTGTTCCCGAGGCATCAAGTTCATGGGTATTTTTTCTGAAGTTTCTGATCTGTTAATTCTACCCAGAGTATTTTTCATTGCAGATATTTTATTTTTTCTTTAGAACTTCACTTAGACTTTCATTTAGTGTGGGATATTTTTGTATTCCTTTAGGTTGGACTTTGTTGAGGCAGGCAGTCAAGATACTTAGGATCAGTTTGAGCCTTCTGAGGCCTGCCTTTAGCTTTAGCTTTTACTCTAGGGCTAATTTAACCCCACTGCTAAGATCATAGCCTTCTGACCCTACACCGATGTCTATATCCGAGTATTTCAAGGTCTCTCCACCCTGGCTGGTAGAAACACTATTGCAGCCAAATGTACTGCTTTCTGGTGATTTTCCCTTGGGTTCCTGGAAGTTTAAGCCACACCTGCAAGATCAGTAGATTGCAGGGGACTCTGAAGCCCCCCCCCCCCC